ATGTTTCATACCCCACAGCGTTACATTGCCTTTTATTTTTCTTTGAACAATTTTTTTTTTTTTTTTTTTTGCTATATCAGGGATTGAGCCCATGGACTCATACACTGAGCTATATCCCCAGCCCTTTTGAGTTTCCCAAACTGGCCTTGAACTCCTGACTTCTTTCTGCTTTAGCCTCCTCAGCAGTTGGGATTACAAATGTGCACTACCATGCCTGGCTAGTTTCTTACATGCAAGAGTGATAGTCTTACACAAGCTACTCTGCTCTTTCTCAGAGCTGAAAGTCTGATGTGGTCATTTTGCCAGTGATTTTAATACTGGGCCTTCCCCCACCTATTCTTAATTTCATACTTAATTGGACATTGTTTCTGTAAATTGCTAAGTAGTAATGAAAACTCTTACCCCGTTACTATGCCACATCCATGGTACATGCCTTTCCTCATAGGGCAACTAAGGATGAGAACTGAAAATAAAACATGGTGAGAAAATATATAAGCCTTAAGTGGTAAAAGATGCTGTTAAGTGTTGAGGCAGGAATTACAGTGTGACAGATAAAACACATATACAACAGAGTTAGATATACATTTATCTATAGTATAAATGACCATCATATATTATAAATAAAGCAGCTGCTCATACACTGAAAGTTCACTTGTAATATGATTTTTTTCATTAAAATCAATAATTTTCAAAACCTTGGATTTTAATTGCAAAAGCCAGATGATAGAATAAAAATCGTTTATTTTTTGTTTTTTTGGTTGTTGTTTTTTTGATGCTCAAATATCATGTGTCAAAGTTTGTGGTTTTAGGGATGGAAAGAAGTATTCCTGCTCCAGAGAAATAGAATACTAAATAGCAGACACAGAAGAAAATTGAACAAGTTAAAATGACACAGCTCCCCACTCCAATCCCAGTCCCAAGATGTTACTTTGCTATTCCACGAATCATATGTACAAAGGACTCTGTTTAAAACAAAGGATAGTTTCTTCCCTATTTTCATTAAAAAGTAATGAAAATTAAATTTCATGAAAATTTCTAAGCATGCTAGTAGACCTCTCTTCTGGAATCATTGACCTTCAATGAATAGGTCATAGGCCCAACTGTAAATCAAACCCTGCCAAAAGAAATAGATCTACTTTTGAAAAGTTGTTCTTAATTACCCTAGCTGGCCTTAAACTTGGGATCCTTGTCTCAGTGTCCTCCCCACAATCTATGATATTCTGTTATGTCAGAATGAAAAGACTAATATCCAAAACACAATAAAAACCATAATCTCCAGCCTTTGGATTATTAACTCAAATGACTTTTAGCGACTGTCTCCTGAAGGCAGAGAAAAAGTTTTACATGTGAAAGTTGCAAAGTTATGCTACGTAGGTTTAAAAAATGTCAGCCTTTAATGAGTGATGCACTGTAGATTAATTTATAATAGTCTACACCTCCAAATCCATGAATTCAGTCCCCACAGGAGATTGGTATCATTTTATGACTGCAAAAACTGAAATTCAGACAATGACTTATTTGGAGCTGTGGTGAAAAATGATGCTAAATATAGAATATTCTTACCCATCTCACTGTAGATAATATACTATACAAATAACCCATATTAATAATACTGTTGGAATCTACAGTATTAACAGCCACACAATAGATACATGGCCAAAAGGAACTTAAATTTTACAAATCGAATAGCTTTACTAGAATCACTCAATTAAAAAAACAAAAAATTGGGCTGGGGTTGTGGCTCAATGGTAGAGTGCTCACCTCACATGTCCGAGATTCTGGGTTCGATCCTCAGCACCACATAAAAATAAATAAGCAAATAAAGGTATTGTGTCCAACTACAACTAAAAAAAAAAAGTAAATTAAAAAAAAAATTGGGGAAGGGGCATTGGGAATTGCACCCAGAGGTCCACTGATTTTGAGCCACACCCCTAGCAGAGAGTCTGGCTAAATTGCTAAGGCTGGCCTCAAACTTGTGACTGAGTTGCTTTAGCCTCGTGAGTTGCTGAGATTACAGGTATGAACCATCATGTCCTCCCGAGTCATTCAATATTTAACGGAATCCTTAAAAAAAAAAAAAGTGTGTGTGTATAATTATTTCCCCATCTTTACAATATTTTTTTCCTCAGGTGATAGTGATTCTAGAATACTTTGCATTTGCTTTCTCTTAATTTTTGAGGTCCCTGATAATCCACTAAAATGCAATTAGAAAAAAGGTAATCTTTGGAGATTCTATTAGGTAGTTCAGGGATTCAAATCTGGAGGCTTGGGCGTGGGGCTTCTTGAGGAAATTAGTTAGATGGTCATGATAAGATTAATTTGGATGAAAAATTATCCCTTTGATCTAATGAAAAGATGGTTCTCACTTTAAAGAAAATTAAATGTCCTCACTACGTACAGGGATAATTCAATGTTGGAAGAGAGAAGGCACACACTTAAAGACAGATGTAAGCAGAACACTTTAATGAGTCTAAATTAGTTAAAATTCAGCATTACCTAAGAGAAATGAGCAGAGGCAGAACAGGAGTTACAATGTCTGTTAACCTAGAATTTCTTTATAGTCTTTTTTTCAAATATTATAAAACAAAATATTTTAATAAGACTTCTTTTTGAGATGTTACAAAGTTTAGGAATTCTGAAAGATCTTAACTAAGAATTAAAAATGAGATATTTGAGGCTTAAAACAACAGTTTGGAAATGTTAAAAATTTGTCATTACTGGAAAAATGGGAAGGGACTGGGGTTATGGCTCAGCAGTAGAGCGCTTGCCTCTCGGTTCAATCCTCAGCACCACATAAAAATAAATAAATAAAATAAAGATATGTGTCCATCTACAACTAAAAAGTGAATTTTTTTTTTTAATGGGAAGACTATTGGATTGTTTCTACATTATGGGAAAGGACTGTTGTTTCCTTATTGTTTTACTTCTGTGTATGTGGATTTAACTCCAACTAGTTAACAAAGTCACAGAAATGCATTTTGTTGTTGTTGTTGTTACTGCAGGGGTTACCACTGTGCTACATTCCCTGCCCTTTCTAAAATTTATATTGGGTCAGGGTCTTGACAAGTTGCCAAGGTTGGCTTTGACCTTGGGATCCTTTTGCTTCAACCTCTTGAGTTGATGGGATTACAGGTGTGTGCCTCAGTGCCTGGCTGAAACTACGCCCCCCCCCCCCAATTATACAGAATTACCTAAAAGTTTCTGATTTGAGGGGGGAAAAAACTCACAGTAATTGCCAAAGTTAAGCATGATTAAAAAAATATTTTAAAAATATTTTTTATTTTTAGTTGTAGATATACACAATATCTTTATTTTTATGTGGTGCTGAGGATCGAACCCAGAGCCTTGAACGTGCTAGGCGAGCGCTCTACCACTGAGCCACAACCCCAGCCCTTAAGCATGACTTTTTACTGTAGAATATAGGTTAAATATCAGGGATTGAACCCAGGGAAGCTTAACCATTGAGCCATACCCCCAGGCCTTTTTATTTTGAGACAGGATCTCAGTAAGAGGCTGGCTTTGAATTTCAATCCTCCTGCCTCAGTCTCCCGAGCTGCTGGGGTTGCAGGTGTATGTCACCATGCCCAGCTAAAAAAATTTAAACTTTTGAAATACTAAATTTTGTGCACAAAGTGTATAGTCTTATTATTACAGCATATTCATTTAAGAGAACAAGAAATAGCTGTATTTTTAGCAACTCTGTAGAATTAGATTTGCTTCCCATTTCTAGACAGGAAAAAAAAAAAAAGAGACCACCAACCCATTTGTCTTTTGAGATTTTAGAACAAAGTATTATATATCAATTCTTGACTTTCCTTAAATGGCTTTATTTACTTTCTAGAGTCCCTTTGAAAACCTAGTCTTTTCCTTTCACTACTTTGGCAAGTTCTAAGCTCCCAGAGACAGAGCCAGGGAATAATTAGATCAAGGTATGATGTTGGTAAGTTTGTTTCCCAGTGTATGTATATATATATTTGCCAAAAATAATTTTTGAACTGTTTTACACCATCCATTTAAAAATTCTTTACCCCACCATTAGTGAAAACAGGCTTGGTGAGTATTACAACTTTAACTGTTGTACATATGTATATATTTTTTTAAATTTTTGTGGTACTCAGTATTGAACACAGGGGCACTCGACCTTGATCACATCCCCAGCCCTTCTTATTTTGAGACAGGGTCTCACTAAGTTGCTGAGACTACACCCAAACTTGGGATCCTCCTGCTCTAGCATAATGAGTAGCCAGGAAACTATTTGCCAGGCCTTACTCTCTATATTATATATTCCAAATTCTGTTATTTTGAAGTTATTCTATGTAGCTTATAAAAATACGAACACAGCAAACAGGTTTTTTCCTTAACTCAGTTTAAAGTGAAAATTTTTGTTATCAAGAGGTATCTGGAAATTCTTTTCCTTAATATAAAGTATGAATTTAAGCACCTAAAACACATAATGACTTGTGATGCCCTAAGCCTATTATAAAATGGCATATTTCTTACTGTAAAACTGATAATGAACAATACACAACAATGCACTGCCTTTACACTATATCTAATTTGGTACTTGCTAATTTTCTTTGTCCCCAAATCAATGCTTTGTATTTTTTATATCCAGTTGTTACAAAAGCAAAGATAAATACATTACTACTCAAAGTACACAGATTACAGGAGAAAGCAAGATATTTAAAGAATCAGAGGCTGGGCTGAAGATTTTTCATGGAGATCAATTCAAGCTAAATTATGAGAAAAATATCAGAAAAATAGTCTGGAAAGTATGGTTGCATATGGGGAAGTTCAAAGAAGGGCATGTTTTTAGATGAAGGAGGAAAAGCCATCTTATATTTAACATTTAATTAAAATAGTAACAAATGTACATAAATTTGTGAAGTTAATTTTAAGAGGCAAAGGTTAGTCAGTATTCTAGCCAGTATTCTTCTTATTTAATACTTAGAGATGGAGACTGAATATACTTTTGGAAGCAAAGCCATTAGACTTCAAGATGATTTTCCATTCAGACTAAAGAAACTTTTAATGAGGATAACACACAGTTTACAAATCTCTTTCCCATAAAATACACGATCTCAAATTAACTCTCAACAATCCTGAGGCAGACATTTTAACACAGTGAGAGGTAGTATATATCTTTAGAATACCGTACCACATAGTAATTGTGTGAACTTGGGGATATTACTTAAATGCTTCATATCTTGGTTTCTCCATATGAAACGTGAGGATGACGACTGTCCCTACCACATATCTGTTGTAGCATTGAGATAATGTATGTAAGCACTTTACTAAAATGCCTGGTCCATAGTAAATAATTACTAACTGGCAAGGCTAGAAGAATTCTAACCTAGATATATTTGTACTACCCTGTATTACCTATGGATATCTACTTTTAATGTTATATTATTATCCTTTTGCACAATTTTAAAGTTATTTTTTGCAGCTGAAAATGACATTTGAGTTTGACATATTCAATGGTGTTATTAATTATTATTAATGACAGGCATAAAAAAAGGAAGTGGTCTCTATGGAGCATTAGGATAAAGACTAAATCTAGGTCTTGAAAAAGTTCACTTGGACCTTTTCTAAACTTAAAAAAAATAATACAATCTATTAATTAGTGGAGGGCAGAAAAAATGTAAGCTCTGTGGGGGCAGAGATTATTTGTTTACTCTCTGTCTCCAAACTCCAGAACAGTGATTGGCAGGTACACAAACATTTTTTTTAGTGAATGAATTTTTTAGTTAAAAAAATCTACTTTAAAACATGTTTTAATAGTAGGATTCACTTTGTTCTGACATGCTTTCCTGTCTAATATTAACTATATTATAATTAAAAAGTCTAGCATACAGTCGTCTACTCATACAAAAATTTTATCAAAATATTCAGAGTAAGAAATAAAAGACTAAATAAGGCCTTGAATAGCTTTATTGAAATCTGTATAAATAAACATGCACATTTCAAATGTAAACTCAAGTGAACCCAAGTGCAGACAAAATTTTAACCTCTGTCATGCAGGAGGTTAGTTTACATTAAAAAAAAAATGAAAGAAAGAAAGAAAAAAGAAAAAAAACCCAAAGCAGCTTTTAAAATACCAGGATGAAAAACCAGCTTTAATATCAAGGTATAAAGCAAAGCCATGATTAACATACCTCATTTATCCTGGTCAAATGCAATTTTTTTCCTTTACTTTAAAATGCTAACATAAATAAATAATTTACCAAAATGTGCACTCACAGAGTGAACTTTTATTTACAATACACAATTTATAATCTATTGTATTTGATTAGTTCAAGTGAAGAACATTATACTTTTTGCTTTATTAACAGTGGGACACAAAGCAATTTCTCAGGTAGTCGATATGTGAAATGTGCCCCAGCATTTAGATTTTCTATTAAAGGCAGTTTTGTATGCCAATCGACAATACATTCTTTCAACTAGATCAAAGGGAAAAAAGCAGCAAATGAAAATGCTTCAAATGTTCACACATATATTTGGCATCCTGGATCCTTGAATGTGGTGAACTAAAATCAAATTCAAGGTTTGTATGCTTTATATACTGTACAGGTTCTGACTCTGGAACATGCAAATGCCATTGCTCTTATAACAAGTTACCTTCTGAGAAAAGCTGTAAGGCTATGGTGAATTCCATCAGGAACACACAAAGAAAGTTAACAGACCTACCTTTATAGCCAATTGTCAATTATGATTTAAAGGCTAGTTTATGAAAAAAAAAACTCTCATCTAAGCTTGATGCAGTTATTACTATGGATACAGAATACTACTAAGTATGTCCTTATATTACAATAATTGGGAGAGCTAAAACTTGCCAAATTACCAAAAAATGGGGGAAAAACAGGCAGCAAAAATTTAGTTTTGGACCAACACCAGATTAAAGACAGCATCTTACAGCATGTAAAGAAAAATTTGAATATCTAAGATTCCAATATCAGTAAAAAATACTTACATGTAACTGAAAAATGATTTTAGAATGTAGTGTGAAATCTAGAACCTGTTTCCATAGTGGCAATAAGATGAACATAATAGACTGGATATTTAATGATACTAAAAAAGGAAATGACTTATCAAGATTGTTTCTTGGTTTTTTAATAGGCCCATATTGATTACCAGGGATAGATTTGAAAATTTGGTTTTCCAGCACTACTGCAGTATTTAGGCCATATTGATACTGCAGCTAAACATTATAGTAGTATATATGGCAGCCTAATGCACATGAACTAGATTATCCAAAAACTAAGTTCATAGTTTCCTTGCAGTATAATCAGAGCAAAATAAATGACCAACATCCACAAATTTAACATTTGTCATCAACTCACATCCAAAAAATTAAAGAAAACATAATTCATCAAAACAGCAGCAAACTTAAAAGGGATTTATTTGTGATTTCCTATATATATTTAGCTTGTAAATACAAGACTGTAAATGTATTATGAGACAATTTCTGTTAAAGTTTTCATTGTGTTTCACTTCAAGTACTGCACAAGTTAAAATCTGATAAAGGATTTACATTCGGTTATCTGAAACTCCCCATCTCAGACTTGTTTTAATGTGGTGGGTAACTTCGTTTCCATAGATACCACCAGCAGGAAGTCTCTCTTTTATGGCTTCTAGGACTTTCATTAATTAGTGTGCATACAGTTTTCATTTTCTATATCATTGTCATTATCATTGCTATCTTCATCACTTTCTAATGGGATGCCTGTGGCAGCTGAAGCACCTTTAGTTTCTCGGTCAAGAGGAAAAAAGCCAGTTCCACTGAAAGTGTCTTGTCTCTGGTAGAAGAGTACATATGCTGCCTTGGACTGTCAAAACAAAAAGGGTGTTAAAATGATCACAATTCTTAAAGAACACATAAACTATAGTATAAGTATTTTACCTGGTATCAATTTTGTTAACAAGGCCCAAGTCAAATAGAAAAAAAACACACATGGTCAAATTGAAGTCACTAAAATTAAGTAAATATAAGATGATTTCTACATGTAAAGGAAAAATGCTTAGATTAAAATTTTTTTGTTATTTGGATTAAGAAATAAACACAACTACAGGATAGATTAACCTAGTTACTCTAACATGAAATAGAATTCTATGTCTTCCTTCCTTTTGACTCTAAGGGAAAAGTGAGCTTTTTATCTAATAGTTGTTTCATCCCATGTTTGCTCTATAGTCCAACTTCTTCTACTGTATTAAGGACATTTTCCATCAATTACCACTGTGTTTTTCTGTGTGTGTGTATGGTGGGGGTATGCTTGTGGTGCTGCTGGGGATTCAACCCAGGGCCTCCTCATGAGTACTAGGTAAGCACTCTATTGCTGAGCACCCCCCTCCACCCAATCACTATGTATCTTTTTATTTTATTTGGTACTGGGATTTAACCCTGGGGTACTTAACCACTGAGTCACATTCCTAGCCCACTTTATTTTTTATTTTGAGACAGGGTCTTGTTAAATTGCTGAGGCTGGCTTTGAACTGGTGATTCTCCTGCCTCAACCTCCCACGCTGCTGGGATTACAGGTGTGTGCCACCACGCCCCACTCATTGTGTATTTTAATGAGACTTTATCTTCTAGACTTTTTCTCTTTGGCATTAAAAAATACTTGTTTTTTTTCATCATAAATCCCCTACCATTCTACCTCCCTTCTAGATGCCACATACTTCTTTCTTCCTTACAACTAGGCTGATAAGGTAGTCTATACCCATAATTCACTCTCACACAAACTCAATGCAATGTAATCTAACTTTTGCCCAAACCATTTTAATAAATTGACTTTCACTGGGTCAATAACCTCTGAACAACAACGTAAATGGCGAATTTCTCTATAGTATTTAATGTCCTACCTACTACTTTTCCCTTCATCAATTTTTGGCTTCTGTGACACCAGTTCTCTTTAGATCTTTTACTATCTCTTCAGGTTTCTTCTCAGACTATTCTGTGGCTTCATTAAATCCTAACCTTTATGTTTTGCACTCAGCTCAACTCTCTTTCTCAATTTGTATCCTCTCACTAGATAACTAATTCAAGCTTTTGGCTTCAATTTCTACCTAAGGCTGACAACTCAAATTAATAATTTAAACCAGTTATCAACTCTGAACTCCTCAAATTTATAATTTAAACCAGTTATCACTCTCTGAACTCATCTTATTAATACAACTACCTAATAGAAATTTCTACAAGATAACTATCATATAGGTACTTCAAACTACACAGCAAATTTTCTTCCTAAATTCCCAATCTCGATTATTAAATTAAGAGTCACTTTCAACTTTCCCCTCCTGTATCTCTACATCATTATTTATAAAATTTTATTTATTTTATACTGTAAATCTCTCTCAAATTCACTCTCCCCTTGTCTGTACTGGCACTACCACTAATTTGATTAATTGTGACAGCCTTCTGTATGGACTTTCTACTTTCTCTACTCAGTGCTTTAAATCTAAATGTTCTTGTAGAGAAGTTAAGATACAAATTTAATAATGTCACTCTACTGCTTAACAATCATCTAATGGTTTCAGTCTTTTTTCTTTTTCTTTTTTTTTTTTTTTTTGGTACCAGGGATTGTGAGCTCAGGGGTATATAACCAAGGAGCCACATCCCCTGCCCTTTTTAGTTTTTATTTTGAGACAGGGTGTTGCTAATTGAGACAATCCTTGCTAATTTCAGAGGCTGGCTTTGAACTCATGATCCTCCTGCTTCAGCCTCCCAAGCCACTGGGATAACAGATGTGTACCACACCACACCTGGCTGTTTTTTCAGTCTTTAAAGAAACATTTAAAAACTGGGATGCTGATTTTCTTTAAGACTTAAATTTATCTCTAGCCTAATTACTTCCCCATATTCCTATAAGAACATTTTGTGCCCTTAAAACATCCTGCCCTCATGTCTCCTTTCTTTTGCAGTATTGTTCTTTTTGCTTAGAACCCCTTTGCTTCCTTAATTTACTCATTTGTATTAGTAGACTCAGGTCAAACAGCACTTTCACTATGAGGATTTCTTTAGTCTTATTTGCTTAAACTCCAAATCTGAGTTGAGACAGCTGTCTCAGGTGTAACCATAGTAAAATATTTAATGGTATTTATAACACAATTATTAACTTGGTTAGTTGTCTTATTTTTTTTTTTTTAGGGTACTGGGGATTGTACACTGGGGTGCTTTACCACTGAGCTCCAACCCCAGCACATTTTAATTTTTTTATTCTGAGATAGTGTCTAGCTAAATTGCTAGGCCTGGCCTTGAACTTTCGATCCTACTGCCTCAGCCTCCTGAATAGTTGGTGTTACAGGTGTGCACTACCAAGAAGAGACATAGCTGTCTTTTAATGCTGCTTGTAATAGAGTCCCACATATAAAAGACACCACATCCATAAGTAAGGTATTCAAATACTGGTGATGTTTGCACAACAAATCACCTAGAGATGCATTTCTTAGAATGTATCCCTGTTAAGTGACCCACGATTATGTGTATGTTCACACACAAAGAACCATCATTATTAAATGCATGGCAAAATCAAATTCATGTAGTGCATATAAATAAGATAAATTACTTGAAAGGGAGATTAGGGCAATAATGTTAAAGAGACTTTGAAGGATGGGATGTTGGCAATTTTAGGATATTTGGGCTAGGAGATAAAAGAGAACAGAAAAAAAATTGAGGACAAAAGAATGAGGAGTTTAAATATAAACTGGAAATGTTAACTTAGGCACACACCATAGAATGACATTTTGGTCAACGATGGAAAGCATATATAATGGTCATCATGTAAGATTATAATATAGTCTAAGTGTGTAGTAGGCTATATCATCTATGTTTGTGTAAGAATAATCTATGCTATTTGTAAAACAAATTACCTAACAATGCATTCTCAGAATGTGTTCCTATTTTAAGTGATATATGACTGTACACACACACACACACACACACACACACACACACACACACACACGGGGAAGGAGAGAAAAAGGGAAGAGAGAAACAAACATTTCAGTGCTATTCATGTAAGGACAGAATAAAACTATGCCAATAATTGGGCTCAGAAATTTATCAATTTGCTTTTATAAACTGAAGACTTTAAAGCATCAAAAACTAAAGTTAGTCTTTGCCCTCAGGGAATATAATTTAATCTGGGAAATAAAGTAAGTTAGTTTTTCTCACATCAACAGAAAGCCTTTTGAATATTACTATCATATGAGCAAATACAATATTTCTCACTCTTTGTAGTATTCTAACAATGGGTAAAATTTATAGAGCTGCAAAATTTATAGAAAAATAAACCCTTAAACAATTTTAACTTTCTTTTAAAAACACACTAGTCATTTTCCATCTCAACATCTGAAAATAAAAATCTGCTCAGATGTAAAACACAACAAATGTGGATGATAAATGAATGCCAGCGTAAACAGATGTAACATTCTTATTTTTCTACTAGTCACAGAATACCAGAGTAACAAGCATACAAAAGGAGTTAATCTTTTAAAAATTGTATTGTTTAAAAGAAGTTAATAATTTTTAAAAGATTATGTCATTTTGAACTTAAATGTCTAATTGTCTTAGGCTTTAAAGATCATAGGTATGGTAAGGCACTTAAAGGATTTTGACTTTTAAGTAGTCAATATCTAAAATGTTAAGAGCTGACCTACTTTTTAGAGGAAAACTAATTTTCATTAGAAACTCCATTGTACAAGTTACATGAAAAATTTTCAGACTGCATTTTGTGCTTTTGTTATGGGCAAATTTGAAGACAAGTGTCCATTTAGGGCACAATTTTATGTTTCTTTAAATCAGAGCAAGTGTCTCTTAGCTACTAGGCATGCTAGAATATATACAATAGTGTTCCATGGGCCCCTTTTATTAATTTGCCTTTTTTATTGTGGTGGGGCAGTGTACAAGATAGGGATTGAAGCCATACATGCTAACTAAGCATGTACTCTACCAATGAACTACACCATCATCCCTTCCATTCTTATTCATTTCTTAAAAACAGTTGATCCCACAATTTTTGGGAAATACATAATATACTTACCACAATTTGGTCTTCAGATGCAGTGGAGACACTACTGTCATCAAAATAGTACCATTTTCCATCATCTTTATTTTTTGCAAAAGCAGTATCTAATGAGAAAATAAAATCACTTCTATGACTAAAATGATCTAGGGAATTTTCAAAACTCTATAATCATCTACGCAATAGCTTAAACTCTATTAACAATATTTACTAAGCACCTATCATGTGAAATAAATGTCTCATATTTTGACTGCTGTTTGTTTCCCCTCCCAAAAATCAACCATGAAAAAAGCTGTAAGAGGGAAGTGAAAGTCAAACTTAAACAAAACAAAACAAAAAACAAAAAAACCTGGCTAGAGGCAGCAATAAGAAGACAGATTAAAATAATGTTTTTAAATTCCACACATGGGACAACCATTGCCTGATTCTTTGCCAGAGATTATCAGTAATACTCAGGTCTCCTGAATCAAAGGCATGATGTTGTTTACAAGACTTATAAACTTGCTGGATTAACAAAACATTTGACAACTAGTGTGGCAATACTCATTCATGTACTCTGATAAAAAACTAGTTTTGCAAGGAGTTGAGGAAAACAGCCATGCACTGAATAGTTTCCTTTGAGTACAGCCTCTCCCAATTTTTCCCCTTCCAATTACCTAGGACTTTTGACAAACAACTTCTGTACATGTTGAATTCTGTCCTATATCCTTTCTTAAATCTAAGTAAACTCTTTGCTGGATGAAGCATATTGTGTGTTGTGTTTGTTAATCTGAATTCAAGACCACTGTGAAGCAAAACATATTCTCAGGCTGAGTAAAAAGACAAGATTGAACAATCTTGTGAATTATATAAGAGACAAATCTCCAACAAAAGTTAGCCAATTAGAGGACTGAATCAAAAGAAAGCTAGAGCAGCACTTGTAATATCTGAGATAAAGACAAGAAAGAATGCCAAATCCCAGTAAAAGGAACTACACAGAGAGAAGAGCTAACCATTGTAAAAATGAATATAACTATTAATGCAGAACAACCAATAAAACTATTAGGAGAAACAGACCAAATCAACACTTTAAATAGGAGTCTTGATAAATTTCTCTCAGAATAGAATGAACATAAAAAATAATCATACAGTGTAATGATTTGGGTACAACTGAAAAAACTATTTAGAAACATAAGGGGGCCTGGGGTTGTAGCTCAGAGGTAGAGCCCTTGCCTAGCATATGTGAGGCATTGGGTTTGATCCTCAGCACCACATAGAAATAAATAAAGGCATTGTGTCTATATACAACTAAAAAAAAAATATTTAAAACAAGAAACACATGGATTTATATCTCAATGGGTAACATATGTTTTTTTTCAAATGTATGAAAATTTAAAGAAACCATGTATTAGGCTACTGTCAAAGCTTCAAACTCTTAAAGATTAATACAGACAAAGCTCCCAATTGTTACAAAAAAAACCCCCATGTACTTGAAAATTAAGCAAATAATTAAATGACCCTGGGCTAATAGAAAATCAAAAGGAAATTTAAAAAATCACAGTATTAAAAGATAATAAAAATCCATCACCAAGACCTAAAGGAGTATTAGTAGGAAGTTTATAGTTTTAATTATAGCTTTCAATATAGTTTCAAAAACAGTGGAAAGCAAAAGTTAAGCGGTCAACCCAAGAAGTTAGAAAAATAGCAACATAAAATGACAACCAATTACCTAGGACCTCTGTTAAACAGTTTTTGTCCATGTTATGTTGTTTCTTTTCCTATTTGTGTTCTTTATTTCTTTTTTGTGATGCTGGGGATTGAACTCAGGGCCTTGTGCATGCAAGGCAAGCACTCTACCAACTGAGTTATATCTCCAGCCTCTGTATCTGTTCTTAAATTTAAGTAAGCTCTGCCACTGTGTATTTTGAGTTTGTTAATCTAAACCAAAGTAACAAGAAGAAAACTGTCATCAAGGTAAAAATGAAATGAGACAATAAGTACAATTAACAAATTAATAAGATGAAAATCGAACTTCTGGAAGAATTGATAAAAAAAAGAAAAGAATGAAAAAAGGGACAAAAACATAGGATAAAAGTATTATAAACCATTCTGAAGTATACTGGAAAACCTAGATGAAAAGGATACAGAAAAAGAGTATGGCATCCTATCTGTTTTATGGCTATAATTTTGATTTCAAAGTCAAATAACAATATAAAAAATTATAAGACCACTGAACTTATGAAATTTTAACTATCTTAATTAGTTAATAAAATTCTACTGTGTATCAAAAACCACAAAAAGACAAGTAGGATCATCCCAAGAATGCAAAGATCATTCAATAGAAAAACCTATCAAGTGGAGGAGAGGGTGGATTTGTTAGTTTCAACATGGAAAGAAATCTGGCAGTATTTAAATACTCATTTAAACCTGGCAGTTTCATCTGAGTACACAGTTCAAAGAAATTTTCATGTAACAGACCAGAAACAATAATATTTACCAGTCTCAAAGGTAAGTTGGATATCCACCATATGGTGAATGCAGAGATAAAATATGGTGAATGTAAACCATTAGAGTAGTGAGGAACAATGGACAAAATAGATAATAAAAGTATAAAGAAAACAAGCAAGATCTGCTGAGATCTGTAGTACAGTACCAATTACAAAAGTGAGCAAATATGCATGGTTTATAGCACATGCATTAAACATGTTACAAAGAGAAGGGAAAAACAATGGAGAAGAGGAACCCCAAATGGACCAGTAACACTTCTTCCAGTGCCTTCAACTGACAATGAGGAGCATGATTAACTCAATCCTTTCTTTTCAGATTTAAAAGAAAAGGGTTCAAAAGCTGATTCATTCATTAATCAATATTGTATAACTATTATATGAAAGACCCATCTGACATTTTACCAGAAGTAATAAATACCTTAAGGAAAAAAAATCAATAGTTATTCGAACATCATCATCAGGTTAAAATATAAACTGTCAACTTACAGTGTCCACCTCCCATCCCTCCATAATGGTTGGAAACAGCAATCAAATTATATCGGCAAGGACCTGCATTTGGATTAATTAAGAATTCCGACATATCCAAGTCACTGTTTTTTTAAAGAGAAATGAAGTTAGTGTTATGTTTTCCCTAAATATAATAAATTCATTTTTTTCTTTGAAATGCAATGAATTCTATTCCCTTCTGCCAGTGTTGCCTCTCTCTATATTTTTCACCAAAGAAATTATCAAGAGTCAAGTAACTCATTATCATTTTGATCCAATGAATTGTTTTTATTTAATCAACTAATTTATTTATTTTGGTACTGGGGATTGAGCATCAGGGACACCCACTCAACCACTGAGCCACATCCCCAGCCCTATTTTGTATTTTATTTACAGAGAGGGTCTCACTGAGTTGCCAAGTGCCTCCCCATTGCTGAGGTTGGCTTTGAACTCGAGATCCTCCTGCCTCAGCCTCTCGAGCCACTGGGATTACAGGCATGTGCCACCATGTCCAGCTTTTTTAGGAATGATCTATACAGCAAAAAATAAAGGGAGAGTGAAAAACAACTTTCTTATGAGTTTTTTAAAATTAAGCTAGACACTAGAACATCAAGAATGTCTGTAATCCCAGCTACTCAGATGCTGAGGCGGGATTGCAAATTTGAGGTCTGCCTCAGCAACTGAGTGAGATTCTGACTCAAAATAAAAAATAACAAGGACTGAGGATGTAGCTCACCTAAGTTCAATTCCTAGTATCTATCAATCAAGTCAATTGAAGTACACCTAAGTTCAATTCCCAGTATCTATCAATCAAGTCAATTGAAGACCATTTTTATTCCACATTTTCCTGATTTTGATAACCTATAGACCAGAAATGGGTAGCACTCTTTGAATGCAATTGACTGTTCATAATCATATATGCATGCACTTGGAACACACCATCTTATAAATAGTTTATTATTGTTTTTCTTACATTTGCATAATTTCTGGTTGTTGTTCTTATACTCACATCATTAAAAAGCAACAACTCTACTCGGAGTGTAGCTCAGTTGGTAGAGCACTCCCTTAGCATGTGTAAGACACTGGGTTCTAACCCCAGCACCCCCACCCCGCAAAAACAATAATTCTAACTTCCAAATATACCTATATTAGAATCTAGTTTTCTTGCATTTACATTGTCAAAATGCTATATTCTTGAAAATTTTAATGGCTCACAATTTTGATACATAACCTTTTTCTTCCTGCTCAATAAGTGGAATGAATAATTAATATTTTCAATTTTTTAAAATCACCTGTATCCTTTCCAGTCCCTTTTGTATACACACCTGCCTTCAGCATTTGTCCACTTACTAACTGATTCAAGTAAGTTTTGGTGCACAAATATCATAAAATATGAAAGAATACTGTCACATGTTCTTTTTTGCAATACAGGATAATGCCAAGCTCTTTATTACAAAATATTGTGTGATGAAGTCCTTCCTGCTGCATGACTAAGTGAATGAGAATACAATGTTCCCTTTTTTGTCCTGAATTCTTAACTGTGTTTAGTAAAAGCTAAAAAACAAACAAACAAACAAACAAAAAGAGACTATGAAGATGGTTTCCAGACTTTGTTATACTTTTTTACAAGTATGATGTCATACCATGCAACAAGAAAAACTGAAGGATAAATGCATATAGGGATAATTTATTTCATTATTAAATCAACATTCTAAGCAATTCCATTTTTCTATTTTTATAATATTTTAGTCATTTAAAAAAATTTAGGAATAATTGATGAATAATAATAAAATGAATCCTAGGAAAAACAAAATCGCTAAGTCCATAAAAAATCTTATAATTATAAATGGGGTCAATGAACACATAAGGTAATGCAAGACACAGTGAGCTATATTTATTTAAAAAGAATATTTTCACTTTTGTTTTTGGAAAAATCTCTAGGAATAAAAATTGTGAAATATCAACCCTTAAAATGGTTATATCTACTCAAAAATAAATTCAAATCTTTTATTAAGATACAATGACAAAAAGCATCAAAATAAGTTTGAAAAAAGTTAGAATGCTCAATGTTTATTAAATACAATTTAACTTACTTGATAGGAAAATCAACTAAAGTATCCAATTTATCTCTCATGTATCGACTGTATGAAAATCGCTTGAGATGTACCACAAGTACTGGAGGAAGGGACCATAAATCCAATTTCTTTGTGGCTTGCTGATGTTCTTTACAATTTGGACAATACCTAAAACCAAAAAGAAATATTTAAAAGTTCGACAGAGGTATAAATGGCTAGCTCCATTAACAAAAATAACAAGCCAAAACCCAAGGGTGGGGGGGAAACCCTATATTTTCAGTAAGCAATTATTTTAGGAGTAATATATACCAGACTAGCAGCAACTCCTCTTTATTTTCAATACATTTTAAAAATAAGTCTAACCATTATAAACTAATATGCAAATAAATATTCAAATAAATGATGAGAGCTAGGTTATTTACATTTCAGTATGCTAAAAAAGATATGAATGTATCATAATATTACAAATGTGTGTTGAGACATAGGTATCAGAAAAATGTCAAAACTTTGGACTTTAATGGAATGATATCACAAAATAATTTCCCTAAAAAGCTTTTTCCAACACAGCTGAAACTTCTTAGGAAAAAGGTAATTATAAATAGTAAAATGACTATTAGGGAAAATATAGTAATGAGATTAAAGCTAATACTGGGATAATACTTTTGAAGATATTCCCATCCCTTTTAATAGACTATTACATTACAGAAATTTATAGCAATAAGAATATTTAGTAATCATTTTTTCAACTTGATGTAGCACATATTTCAGAATAAAGCCTTAAAGAAAATAATCAGAAACAATTATTTAACTTTGTCTCTTACCAGGGATCTTCAGCACCTAGCTTTTCTTTTGTTGTGAAAAGTTCAATGCAGTCTTTTAATTTCACAAAGGGTTTTTTAGGAGGTTTATATTCCACGCTTTCATGTTTTTCAAAATCCTAAAGAGAAGTATTTCTTGAGTTAAGAGAACAAATGAAACAAAACTCATTTTAGTGAAACCATCTTACTATGAATAATAATGAAAACTCCTAAACTTTCAAGAGAATCATAAAACTTATTTCAGCTGAGATTTTCATCACACTTTTTAATAACTCCTAAATGACCTTCTATAATTAAAACGTGTCAACAAAAAGCATGTTCAAAACCCCTCTAGTTGAAAAAAAGTTTGTGACCAAATTTTTAATGGCAAAATATAAACTAATTTCAAGGAAGCAGAAAGTGTACAAAAGAATGTGGTTAACTCTAGCAATGAGAATAAAGTAAGCCAAGAAAAGGTAAAAAAGTAGTGTTTGAGTGATAACTTACCTCGGCAGCATTTTCATCAAAATATCTTTTTTTCAATTCAGGATCCCAATCCAAAGCAAGAAAAGATCTTTCTAAGGTGAAAAACATTTTTTTTCTTTAAAATTCAATGTGTTTTACAACTAAAATTTGTATATTTTAATATTAGGGTATATATAAAAATAAACAAGGAGCAATTTTTTCTACTTGCACAGATGATTAGGACAAATAACTGTTTCCAAGCCTTTAATAATGTGAGATCAAAAGACAAAAAGATACAAAGCTGAAGCATGAAGTTAAACCCTGCTTTAGTAAACACTTGCATGTTTTAGTGTACCTGGATATTAAGGCCTTTTATTTAACATTTTAAAATAGATAAATGGTATTTTTCATGGTTGGGCTGAATTTCATAGTTTTATATTTTTAAAAACCCACTTACTGAAATTTGATGCTCAAGTCATTTTTCACAAAAAATACTTACCATCTAGCCTAAGCTGCCTATCATCAAATCTTATATGCCTTGTATCGTCTTTGATGTAGTTGATATCAGTACTGCCTAAGTTGTTGAACTGGAATGTAAACAATCGTTTTTTGTGTCCCGTGAGTTGACCTTTGCAAGTTTCCTCAGTACATAATCCATTTTCAGAATCATTGTCTCCTCCAACTGAATCTTCTGACTGACTATTTTCATTCTCTGAGGGAAGTTCTTGATCCTGGCTGGATTCATCATCTGGTTCATCTGTTTCCATTTCACCTAGTTTTAGATATTAGATATCTTTAAATAAATTCAGTGTTAACATTTCTGAAATAATTATTTTACCTAGATTTACAGATGGTTTGTTTTTTGGTTCCTTAATATCCATTTTTTAAACTTTTTCTCTGAGGCAATAAACCAAGTGAAACATTTTAATAATTTAACAGGAAAGTCTTACTTGGTGAACCTTCTTCATGTATGCCATTTGGGCCATTCCCATTAATATTTTGGTCTTTACAGCAATGCAGGGAACCTTCAGTTTCTTCAGTTTCAGTAGATATTTTGACATATCGGCTTAATAAAATCAGAAATCAAACAAGTTCAATTCTACAGAGATCTAAAAACTACTTTCCACCCTACCAATAAAATGGAGCTTTTCAATGCAATAACAGTGGTTATTTGGTAGATTTAAAAATAAATTAAAACTCAAAGCTTACAATTCCATAAGTAGAATTAATTGTGTTTTATTTGTCTTTATAAAAAGAATAGTTTCTTACTTCTAGAGTGTTATATCTGTCTTTTATGCATTAAAGTTTGTGGCAAATAATTTCTCAACTTTAAAGTATTATATTCCCATTTAAATGATATACATGTTATTGCTAAGAAAGCTTGCTTTTATATGATGTGAACATTTTTAATAATATTTTTTGTGGCACTAGTGATCAAAATGAGGATAATGTGATCTTTATGTATGAGTTATGAAACTACAATAATTAGGTATACAAGAAATAATACTGAACATGTCAACTATAAAAAAATTAAAAAGGATCAAATGGTGTTTATGATTACCTTATATAATTCAAATCAAGATTTTTAGGAAGGTAAAGAATGGACTATACATTGTGACTATTTATTCTTTTAAGACAAAGTATGTTTCTTGAGCTAGTAGTATGCATAAAGATATGAGACTCTGCCATTTGCTACGATTCCAGAGTGTACACATGTATCACAGTTATTGATAATACTGAGTTTAAAATAACCTCAGTAATGCATTTTTTTCATGATCATGAAAGTAGATGACTGTAATCTTGATTTTTAAATTGCTACCTGTCTAAACAAAGTTGAGATAATGTTCAATTACATTCTGGTAGTTCCTTGCATGTTTACTTTTTTACTTGTATTTCATTCCCATGCTTATTTTATTGAAGTAGAATTGTCTGGCACTTACCACATTCTCAAAAGGAGAAGATTATAGAGTTTATCTTCAGTATTGTTTCGTGGGACAGCCATAAGAAAAGGTTGACCAAAAAGTGAAGAACCAGTATGGTGGGTATAACTTGAGTGTCTAAATTTTTCTCTTAGGCAAACAGGAATAATCACATGTTCTGTATCTTCTGTCCTATTGATGTTAATTTCAAACCTATAAGAACACAATGGACCATAAACTCTCAAAATCTTGTTATTTCTTTTGATTATTTTCAAGTAATACTCTGCACAATAAATTTCATACTTACACATAAATATCATCCCGTTCCATAATACTACTAAGGTTTTCATCCATAGGGAATATTCTGTGAAATCTATGATTGTATATATCAGTAACTATCATCTAAAAGGAAATAAATTTCTATTAAGCTGGTTTTTTAACACCGAGAAACTAAACACCAATTTAAATTCTTCAATCCCAGAAATATCTTACCTTATCTGCCGGTACTCCTGACAAAGTAGATAATGCTGTGCAAAGATCTAGTATATTTCCAATTTTGGGGACAACCACTTTATACTAAAAAACACAAAAAATTGTAATGAACTTATTATACTGGGAAAAAAAACACTGAGTAGATGAGACTGACCTCATAATTGTTTTCTTATATTCATTTGGTATTCAGCATTTGGCTTATAATGTCTACCTCCAATCTTGCCATTACCCCAGGAGATAATGTCCATATAGATGATTCATCCCACCCCTTATTTTTCCTCAGTTTCTCAATTCAAAGATCTATCCTTACATTCAAGTATAGTCAACTTCCTGGACCTTGTCGCCACCTGAATCTGCTTTGCTTCTGATACCTTAAACTCTAGCAGGTTATTGTCTAATACCACTACCTGCTTCACCTGGAAACATATTCTTACCTATTCTTATCTTTAGAGATTTCTAGTCCTTATGACACTCAGATTTTCTCCCTACTGTCTTCATGCACTTCCATCCCGACCCCATATTCTTCATCAATTCAATCATTCCATTATAAAACCTTTAACCTCTATTACTCAGTTCCACTCTTGCTGAACTTTCTCAAAGCAGTTCAGATATGCTGCAGAAAACTCCCCAACTTCAGATGCCAGTGAACTTCAAATCCACAGTCTCAACTGATCCTTAACACTGCCCAGAAACAATTCTCTGAATCTTATTTGCTGTTTTTCTCATTTCTCTCAATTACTATTTAAAATATTCACCATTACTTAGGCCTCCTATTTCACTGTATCTCCCCTTCAGAAGAACATCTATTTTACTAAGAAAATGGAAGCTGCCAAGTGGTAAAAATCTGTAACTTCCAGTTCCCTTAAAAAATTACTTGAGGACATATAGGTTTTTTTTTTTTTTTCTTTCCTGTCTCTTGCAATACAAGATAAGTGTTTTTCTTCCCATTAAGGGAGAACCCTAGTTTATATGCTCTGAATTCTATCCTCTGTTAATGGAATACAATAAACATCTCAAAAAACAAAACAAAAATAAAAATAGTCCTTCCCTGCTTTCCCTTATTTCCCCTGCTTTATAAATGACTTTATTAACCATATCTACACTGACTATTATAACTTCCTTACCTCCCATTCACTCTCAACCCATTTTCTGGCTTTTGTCTTCACCCCTTTATTTAACCTATTGCCAACATTACCAAAACTACTACACAACTCACTTATTAAAAACCTTTAAAAGCTTTCCTAGCTTTAGGAAGAAGTCCAAATTTCCTATCATGGTATCAAACATCTTTGTGATAGGTCTTTGTGATACTCATTGGTAAAGTTCCTGTTTACCGTATTTTTAGCTACTTATAAATTTTAGAAGTAGGGCAATGACTTCTTTTGTCTTCAGGCCTTGTACATGCCAATTTCTTGGCCTATAATATCTTCATTTCCAGCTGCTACTTACTTAAAATCTAATCATTCTTCATGATTCATCACAGGTATATCAGTTTGTGCAGGTTATTCTTTCTGTGAGCTCCTGTGGTACTGTCATACTACTTCTCACACTCTATGACAAACTTCTTAAGAACTAGGATTAGAAACACTTTCATATTTCCAACCCCTTACAGAGTATGAGAGCAACATATAATACATCCTCAATATGATTACTAATATAACCTAAATCAACTTCAGTAACAGGATGTTAGCTAATTCCACTTCCTTGCCAGCTGATTAAACCATAGTGTTAATGAGGATATCGCTTTGTACGTAAGCTGTGTTTAAGAAGAAAAAACAACAACAAAACAACAACAAAAATACCACCCCCATCCCTCTAAAAAAGAACATAAACAACACCCAAATCCAATTCCTGTGTTGATTGTGGACCTAATTCTCACAATTAATATTCTTGGTCACCAAGTGAGTAAAGAAGTAACTCAATGAAATTCACAATGCTGAAAAAATGATTTAAAGCCAAATTACAAAAGAACATTCACCATATACCTTAAGGGCTAATGTGTAGCTTTAATGTAACCTGTCACTATATAATACATATTATTTTATAATATTAGCCTGGAAGAGTATTGTCTTTAACAAATGTGCTGAACATAAATAAAACATCTACTTTTTTTGTTGTTGTAATACATTTTTACTAATTTTTCATATTCTTTTGCTCCATTGGCATGTATTTGCAAAGTTACAAGCTAGTGAGGTAAGGGTATAGTTTAATACTGACAGAACTGAAAATAATGTAGACAATTCTGCATTTACAAACAAATGAATAATCGAGTACCTAAAGAATATATATTATTATCAAGTATGAACAGAAAAAAAAGTGTAAAAAGTAAAAGCAGGTCTTTGTTGATCCTGCTCATAGATAAGGGTAAGTTCTCAACACTACTTGACAAAATACTGACATAAAGCCACTAGGTTTGATTAGTTCATGAAGGAAACATAAAGAAGCAGAGAAAAAAAGGTGAAATTTATATGGGATTGCATTATTTATTACAACTAGACTTCAGTTACCTTGAATGAAATAACTATTTTTCAGAATGTTGTAAATATCCTTCTCTTGTTAAGAGTAAACTCACTTTCCTGCCTGAGTGGTAAAATCATAATTTTGTTCAGAGCATAACTTTCATATAGATTTTGTGACTATTAGGCACCAAAGTTGAGCTATCTGGCTGAAACTCTAAGGATTTAGAGAAAACAATATTCTGAAGTAGGACCATATCTGCCTTGTTTAGTGAACAAAAACTTTATACTATTTGTGCCTAATACAGCATTGTGAATACTTTTTTTGGTGGGGAGGGGTTCTGAGGACTGAATTCAGGGGTACTTTAACACTGGGCTACATTATTAGCCTTTAAAATTTTTTTCTAAGTTGTTCAGGGCCTTGCTAAACTGCTAAAAAGCTGGCCTTGAACTTTAGTCTTCCTATCTCAGCCTCCTAGAGTTGCTGGAATTACAGGTGTGTATCACCATGCCCGGCTTGTATACTGTTGCACTAACATACACAAATTAAGCATTGAAAACAAGATTTATAAGTCTCCTATCTTCAAATAACTTATGGTCTAGGGAAGAAAAACAAGAGCAAATAAAGGTCAAAATAAAATTTGCTAAGTGCTGTTAACAGAATTTAGGGGAGGTAGGAAAAGAAAGGAGATACTTTGGATGGGAGGGGTCAAGTCTCAGAAAAGTACTGATAAAGAAGGGAGAAAATATAGGATTTCATTCACAAAATAGAAAATAGTCCAATTATAACACTACACTATGGAATCAAGCAAACATGATCATTAATGCCTACTACCAGTGATTTTGCATAGGATAAACAATATGTGATAAAACAAAGTATTAAAGATTAGAACATTATTGAATCAAATGTTTTAATCTAACTAAATTTCCATTTCTCATTTTTGTAAGCTAATATTCTTCAACACTGTAAAACAATGTCTGTTTTCTTTGATGAGAAAAAGTCTTTGAGAATACTTTTTACATGACATCCTTCATCCTTTCAAGATTCTAAAAATTATACTAATTTCCAAAGTGTTAAGCTTATAGTACACTACACAAACATTATTACTAAACTGTGCTTTAGGATTCAACACTAATCTCTAGTACTAATTTACATATAGTACTAGAGATTAAATCCAAGGCCTTGCACATGTTAGTCAAGTGCTTTACCACTGAGCTACATCCCCAGTCCTTTTCAAAACTTTATTTTGAGACAGGGTCTTCCAAGTTGCCCAGGCTGACCTTGAACTTATAATCCTCTTGCCTCAGCTTCCTAAATTGCACACACCACCAGGCCCACTTCAAAACTAATTTTATATAGTACTCAACACTATAATATTTGATAAAAAGTAACAAATGTAAAGAAAATAATCACTCCTTACCTGCATAGGTTTGGTAAGTGGATCCATTCTAACTAAATAAACTTCCAAGGTACGTTCTTTTTTCATGGGCAATGGAAGTGTCAAGTAACAAAAAGGATCAAATGTTACTGAAATCTTAGCACATTCAGGACAAACCAAAGTTGATTTGAAAAGGCCATGAAATATATCTACTATGATAGAATCGTTTCTTTTTAAATGGTTTTCCCAGGCTTCTTCAGCAACCACCTATAAAGAAAATAAGATCAAATTATAGAGGTATTATAGAATTGCAACAATACAGACAATAATATCATGAAACTTACTTTATCAGGCCTTCCATCAGCATCTTTCAATTGTATATATGGTTTTTTCCTAATTCTATTCAAATCTTCATGTAGTCCATCTAATAGGAAAGCTAATAGTTCTTGACAGTCTTGCTGTTGATATCCAGAAAACTGGGGTGCAAAACGTCCTACCTGTGTCTGTGAGAAAAGCAAAACCATGAACTCAGCAAGAGTCAGGATTCTTTTAAAATTCTACAGTTGATTCTTATTATTCATGGACTCCATATCTATGAGTTGCCTACTTGCTAAAATTTATTTGTAACCCTCAAATAAAATTTAAACACTTTAGCAGTCATTGTGGATATCCTCAGAGAGGTGAAAAATTTGAGTCATCTAACATGCACATTCTCAGCTGGGGAACAAAGTGATCCTCTCCCCTTTTTATTTTAGCTCTCATACTATATAAACAAATGTCTTTTTGTAGTTGATTTAGTGCTATTTTTTTTTTCACACTTCTGTGCTGTCTTCTGGTTATTTCAGTGTTTAAAGAGCCCCCCATACATAGTGCTGAAGTGTTGGCTAGAAGGAGGCTGTGATGTACCTTTTGAAGAAAACAGTTAGATAAGCTTCCTTCAGACATAAGTTACAGTGTTATTGGCTATGAATTCAATGTTAATGAATCAACAACACATATTAAAACAAGTTTTTTTTTTCCATTTTTTCTTTTTAGTACCAGTGATTGAACCCAGTGGTGAACATCCCTAGTCCTTTTTATATTTTATTTAGAGACAGGGTCTTGCTGAATTGCTTAGGGCCTAAATTGCTGAGGCTGGCTTTGAATTCACAATCCTCCTGCCTCAGCCTCATGAGCCATAGGAATTACAGGTATGCACCACCATACATGGTAAATAAGGGTCTTTAAACTAAAATACACATAACACAAAATGACACACTGGTTGGTTGGTGAAAATGTTACAACTAGAAGGTTTGATAGAATCAAAACCTATATTTTCCCTAGTAGCAACAGTTTAGTATGGTTATTCAGTATTTGCAATAAATTTAAGGAATATAACTATTGTGAATAATGAAAATGTATATATACAAAATAGGAACATATATCTTGTTCTGCATTCCAGTTTACATTCAATGAAGCTTGCTTATTTATTTTTTTTTAGAATTTAACCTTTATCTTATTCACTTTTTTTTTTTTAATGTGGTGCTGAGGATTGAATTCAGTGCCTCACCCATGCTAGGCAAGCACTCTACTCCTGAGCTTCAATCCCAGTCCTCAATGAAGCTTATTTAGGCCAAAATAGAACAGAACATGGACTCCTTAAAAAAATGTATAGATGAAAAACGAACAAAACCCCCCAAAAATGTGTATTGATCATTATGGGTCCTATATTTCTTTGTTACTAATTGCCATTTCACTATTTGTCAAAGGAGTTTTCCGCACTTTTAGCTCTTGGTTTTCCTATTGCCTCTTCCTGTAAATGTTTGTCAGGCAGACAATAAAAGACAAGTTTTTATTCTGGCTATTATTATCATATAGATAATCATACATCTAAAAGAATTTTGAAAATAACTACTCTCTAAAATAGAGAAATGTTGACATGAGAAAAGAACAAGGAGAACATATAATAAAATATTGTACAAAAAATTGGGAAACACTGAAGACTTAAAAAATACTTTAGTAACTTATTGCTTTGGGTCCACTGGGGAAAAAACTTTAAATCTTTTAGTTTCTGTGTGTAAAAAGAGGAAGAATCTCATAAAGATAACAAAAATATTTATTTTCAATTTTGTAATACTATTTTTTGATTGGACTACAAAGAAATGTAATAATATAAATCATAATATGAGGGGCTGGTATTGTGGCTCAGTGGTAAAGCCCTTGCCTAGCATGCACGAGGCACTGAGTTTGATCCTCAGCACCACATAAAAATAAAATAAAGATACTGTGTCCACCGAAAACTAAAAAAAAAATAAAAAATAATAAATAAAACATAATATGAAAGAAGTCAAATATCAAGAACCTGCATTTTTACATAAAATTTAAAGAGGAAAAAAAAAATCTAACAAAACAAAGCTACTTGGAATGAGGGTTGAGTTGAGATGGTTTGTCTAGACTAGTCTGTCCAAATGTAGGGGTACATGATTTTTTAGGAAGTAGTATACAGTTACTTAGTACATGTCCTACATGAATACCATTTAAGTTGATTGTAAAAATTATGGCTTATTATAATTGCTTATTCTTCAAAAGTACATACTTTCTCATCCTACTCCTATTACAATTAATTAGGAAAACTTTTTAACACATAAAGTCAAATTTTAACTTAATTCTTGTTTGAATGAAAAATCATTTGTAATTTTATTGATTCTAAAAAGCAATCTATTCACAAATTTGAATAAACTTTGACTTTAAGAATTACATTGAAAGCACATTCATATTTAGTGACTGTTTTGCAGACTAGCTTTAATTTTTCAAACCCACAATGACTATTGAAATACTCTTGAGTTCTTAGACTTTAATGTTCAAATTTATTTTTTTAAGGTTGTATAATATGAAATAGTCATGTAGATTTTTCAGAGATGTATTCTAAAATAACTATGCAAATAAATGCTCACTGCTATTTCTCTGTAGTAATTCTATCATACCAGTGTTTTTCTCAGTCTTTTAAAATTATTCCCCCCTCCTAAATCCTTTTTAGACTTTCTGAAAACTAATCACCCACTCTGTCATCTGTCTGAAATTTTTTACCACAGATGATCTATCTATCCATCCATCCATCCAACCATCCATCCATCCATCCATACTGTATTCCTTTGAAGGGCTATAAATCATTGTGATAGCTACTATTTTTCATCTAGGAACTAGTTTTTACCCTCTTGGGGTTGATATCACTCTTATTGAGAATGTATTTATCATACTAACCTTAAATGCTCTTGGGGTGACGTAGCTAAACTTTCCAGACCACATTTGCTTGATCAGTTCAGCATATGATTTAGCTATTTCGCCTCTCATTCCTAAGGGATTGTCAAAATTCAGTTCTTCTTGATACTTATCATTGAGGAAATACTCAGTAAGTGGAGGTGTGTTGCTCAAACACTGCAAAGAATAAAATATATTTTCAAGTAAAAGTAATCATACACACACTTTTTTAAAAACATGCTAAAATTAAAGGGAAACAAATTGTTTGCCACAGCAATCAGAAAAAAATAAGATGGTCTCTGGCACTAAGAAGTTACTGTTCAAATAAACACTGAAATGATGCACTCAACTATTCATTTCCCAAATTTCAAATCAATTATTTATAATAAATGAAATGTTAATATTTGTTGCTGTGAAATCTGCATTAATTTTAAACACAGCAAACTACCTGTTAACTGGGAGAGAAGGTCAGTTTTCTTTCCTCTTTTACTTGATTGGTAGAAATTATGGATTGTCTACTCATCCCAGGAACCTATAAATTAGCCTGAGTAGGAAAAACTAAGATAAGAGTGCAAGCAAGAAATTAACTTAAAAAAGAGGTTTAGCTGACTATCTGTAGATTCAACCAACATAGATAGAAAAATACTTGGGGAAAAAATTGTGTCTACAATGAATATAGAGACTATTTTCTTTTCAGTATTTCCTAAACATTACAATATAGCAGAAATTTACACAGCATTTATATCAGGAATTTATGTAATCTAGAGATAATTTAAGACATATGAAAGGATGTGCATGGGTTATACGCAAATAATACATCATTTTATATCAAGGACTTGAGCATTCATGGATTTTGGTACCAATTACCATTGATACTGAGGGATGACTAAATTTACTGCTTCCACTATTAGTTACTTATCATTAAAGAGCAGCCTTAATTTAAGCCTTCCATCTGGCCAACTACCTTTATAAGGAATAGTATAAACTAGCTGAAACTGAGAAAATAAATTTCAGTTATGTAGACTCTGGGTAAGTGTATTCTCACTTTTTTCAGTTCTTGTTTTAATACAATCCAGTTTTCTTCTATGGCAAAATAAAAACTATGAGTAATTTAATTCTTCAACTCTCTTCCATTCTAAATAAAACAATATATTCTTTAAAAATAGATGAAAGTACAGTTTCCACAATATTTTATTTCAAGATGGAATAATTTTAAGCTGATGATACCATATAATTTAATTTTAATACAAATATTACTACTTAATTAATGAGATGCCTAAAAAATGCAGTGTCTGCTATAGACATACAGCCATATAGGTAATTAGTTTTTTCCTTTTTCCCCTGCTGCAGGGAAAATATTTGTCTTGGAGTCAAATGACAAACTGCTACATAAGGAGCTAGTTGCTTGCATGTAAAATAGTAAAGGCCCAGTTTGATGAGAGCCTGGATTTACATTAATGGAAATTCAATGTAAAACATTTAGCGTAAAACATTTTATTTTCAAAGTTTTTCAAAGAGTGCTTGCTATTAAATTAAATATACTTAGGGTGAAAGATTCAGTCTGCTGGGTTTTTTGATAACTCAGATGTTGTGAATTATAACTATCTTTTTGAGCTAAAACTGTAAAATAAACTTATTCAACTTATACTCAGGTCTTTCAAGTAAATTATGGAGCTTAATTTTGTGGTTTCAATTATAAATCAATTTATGTTTACTCAAGTAATCGTAGTATCTATTTAGGAATTTTCTATATAATAAAAATAATATTGTCTAAATTAGTAGTCTAGTCCCTATTCTCAAGGCAAAAGGGAGAACTACTTATAGTGCCATGAAATTTGTATTATCAGATTTTTATACAGTTAAAAATATCTAGGATGGGCTATACAGTTTTCAAGATCATTTACATATCACTTTCAGTGTAAAAATTTTTATTTACATTAGCAAGAGGAAGACAGAAGTAGGCTACAGTGTAGGAGGCAACTAAGGGAAAGGATATTATCCTTTCTAATTTCTTTTTTATCTCAACACCTCTCCTTATCTCATACTCCTCTGGAGTTTAATTTTCTCTTCTTTTTTAATTATATATCCTTTTAATTATAAACCCAAATTCAGTATAAAACTTTTAGTGTAAAACATTTTGGGGGAGGGAGGTCCAGGCAATCTAGAATACAATACAGCTAGCTATAAAGAGCATAAATGCCATCTTATATCACCAAAATAGCACAGATAGGATCAATGTTAAAAGACAATTAAGTGAAGGGAGATTGAATAGCAATTTCCAACAATTATCAATTAGTTTTCAAGTCTTTATATTTGATCAGCTCAGAGTTATGATAAGAATATAACATATTCCACTATCATCTATTAATGCAATCATACAACATAATTTACATTTTACCAAATATCTCAAAGAACCAAGTTGTGTAAATATAAATAATTCCTGAGTTATTTTTACTTAATTATTCACATATATCCTTATCTTACAAAGATAAAAAGTTATTTTAGCTTTCATATATCATCAAGGGTGATTTGTTTTAATAACTTTATTTTGTTTATTTTTTTATGTGGTGCTGAGGATGGAACCCAGCACCTAACGTGTGCAAGGCAAGTGCTCTACCACTGAGCTACAACCTCAGCCTAAGGATGATCTTTTACCAAGTTACTTCCTTGCTACAAATTGTTTAATGGCTTTTCTTTGCTTTCAGATTAGAATACCAAATCCTTAAATGGGTCTGTTGCCCACCTATGTACCCTCAATCTTTCGCCAATATCTTTTCTGTTCCACTTTATTGAGCCTTATTTTAGTTTACTTGTGGTTCCTTGACCTCTAAATATCCTAAGTTTGCAACTTTAGCTATCTGAAAATGTACCTTTTTTTTTTGCCTTACTTAATGTTTACCAATCCATCAAGATTCTGATATTGTGTCTGGGAAGCCTTCATAATACATGTTTCTTCCTGTATGTTTCTGCACTGATTTTATAATAAACTAAAGCTTTAATTTTTAGTTTGCCTGTCTTGTCAAATGATCTGACAAGGAAAGACAAACAAAATGGTCTGACAAATGGTCTGCCTCCAGGAAAGCAGGTACCACAATAACTTTTATATTTACACCTCTAGCACTGAGCACTACTTCACTTGGCCCTTAGAATGTGTATAGTAAATATGTGCTTAATAAAAATGTTTTTGCCTATGTTTACTAATGCATTTATTTTCTCAGATTTACTCTTTTCTTTCAATGTTAGGTTCAGTTGCTCAATGATTTATTTTTAAATAAAATATTACTAGATGCAGCAAAAATATATTTACTTGTAATGAGTAATCTCAAAAGAATCTCCAAGTTCTTGAATATGAAACCAAAAGAAGGGCAATGCACGTTAAAAACGTCCACTCTTTATTTGATCTTTAGTTAATCTATGATCTGTTTTGCAATGAACTTCTGTATTTGGACTTTTTAGACTAGCATTTATTTTCACAGTGACACATGTTGGTTTGAAACAGATTATAATTCACTGTTAACACACTATTTAAGAAACACAAATTATTTTTTATTTTTTAGTTGTAGGTGGACACAATACAGTATTTTATTTTTATGTGGTGCTAAGTATCGAACCCAGTGCCTCACGTGTGCTAGGCGAGTGCTCTACCATGGAGCCACAACCCCAGCCCAAAAATAATTTTAATGAGAAGTAATTATACAAATTACCTGTGAAGATACCATAACTAGTATCTATGTTTTAGCTATTTAGTCCTAAATGGGCCAAAACAAGCCTCTTATTTCTGGAATTTAATGTTTTAAGAAACTCTCAAGCTACAATTCTCTAACAATTTGCAAAAACACACATAAATATGGAAATTCAATAGTCAGTATAAATATATATATATATATACACATACATACTAACACATAATTATTTATTTAAAAACTAAGGTGATGTTAGGCTTTCCTCCCTCATTTTGAAAATACCACTAAATGAGGAATAAATTCTTGAAATAGCATAAGATGAAATTAAAATATTAAAAGTTTCATTATAATTTTTGGTACAAATTTCAAGACATAATTGGAAAAAAGATCAAACAACTAAAATATTTACATGCCCCGGGTGATGTTCTACTAGTATTCAGTACCACCATTCTGGAAGAAGAAAGTCAGTTTCTTAAAATATTTTTATAATATAATTTGATTTGTAATACTTCATGTAACTCATTATTCAATCCTTTTTATGTAAGCTATCTTGGAAAGATGAAAATCTTTGACTACTGCAAGAAAACTGTACAACTGGACTGGCTGCCATAAAACAGTGCTTTACAGAATAGTAATTTCTATACAGTTCAATAATAAAAACCATAATCAGAGTTAAGCTTTTCTACTATACAAGCATCATTTTCTATTAGATGAGACTGTCCTAAAACAATTTCCTTTCTTAAAGACACATATTTTAAAAGTCCTTTGTTTGTAGGGCATTTTCCTTTTAGTTTGTAAGATACTTTAAATGATATAAAAGGCATCTAACATGTGTTGTGTCTATGTGAATATCTCTCTTATTCTCAATGCTTCTTGGACTGTAAAATAACAAAACTCACCCTTTCTTAACAGCACAATTGTTCTTAACAAAAACTGAGAATATGTATAAGTATGTCATAAAAAATAAATATATAAACAGTATGATTTAGTTTGTGGATACACTGTAAGTATGCTATGTTTGTAAATACTTCCGAGTTTTAAACATGTCTACTAGTCTCATGTTATTTGGAGCTATGTCTCTTGTTAATTTACTGAAGTCAACTCTCTGACAAAGATGAATGTCAAAAATCTCAGTGCTTTGGGAGAACTAAATCTTGTACTTTAACTCTAATAAAATGAGTTTTACCTATCAAGCAATGTGACTGATCATAAAATGCTTTTATGTTTAAGCCATATTTTGTTTCTATCATTATTTGTGCCTAGAGTTGGTCTTAAAATTTCAACTCATTTTGTCAAACAGCATGTTACAATTAAAGCATTAACCAGAAAGAATAAAAAGGTTCTGTACCTACATTCCAACTCAATGCAAAAGTTAAAAAGTAAAAAATTTCTATTAATGAATAGGTACTATTAACCAGGTAAAGTATTTTTAATGCAAGTTTATTGTGTACAAAACTGGCAAGAGCACTTGCAGATTTAGGGATTAAAAAACGA